CAAATGAAAGAACATTAGCTTTTAGTCAAATGAAATAGGGAGCCCTCTTAGAGTTTTAAGTAGTGGAATAGCATGATCTGAGCTATGTTTTCATAGGATAACTCTGGCATGATAGTGATAGGCTTCTATGAGAAAGATGGGAGTGTTTACTGCAGCGCAGGGCAGAGATGATGGCGTGAATCATTGCAGTAGGGTGTTGAGTAGTGATAGTGGATTCTGGTTATATTTTGCAGCTTGAAACAGCGGAGTTTGCTAAGGGTTTGGATGTGGGTTATAAAAGATAGAGAAGTCAAGGATAACTGTAGGAGTTTGACCTAATCAACAGGAAAACTGGGTTTGCCAACATTTGGTTTGAAGAATTTGGTGGGAGCAAATTTAGAGAGGAATTTTTGGGTTCAGTTTGGATGTTAGAAATATTAAAAATAAAGGGAGGATGTTGAAAGAAGATTTGGGTGACACTGGCATGTTTCAGGAATAGCATTGAGGCTGGTGTTGCTGGAGGGCAGTGAGAGAGGAAATGGTCTTAAAAGATAAGATCTAAGAAGAGCCAGGGGCTTTTGGATTTTATCCTGAATAAGATAAAAGGGCGTTGAGAGTTAGGAACAGAGAGGGGGGAAAAAGATTAGATCTATAACTGAAAAGGATTACTGTGTTCTTGGGCTAGATATTTAAATATGCTCTGCTTTATTTTCTTTTGGGCAGAAGGAACTAAATTCACTTAATACAAAAATAATAATTGACTTAGAAGATAACATATTAATTTCACTGTTTTTTGAAATGTAATGGCATTGTTATCCATGGACATAAGCAGTGACCCATTAAATGAGACTCTAAATGAAATCAGTTGGTGGGCCTGTTCAAAATCAAAGAGAAACTCTAAAAATAATTCAGTGTATTTACCTTTACTAGTTCTTTAAAAAAGTTAATTTTTGTTTTTATATAATAATAGCAGGCATGTAACAGATGATGTGGGAGTCTTCATTTCATGTTACTTTAGTGAGTATTTAGGTATATCAAGTCTTGAATCTTAAATGTGAAAGGTTCATATCATTTTTCTAGGTCAAGTAAAATGGCATTTTACGTAAGGATTATAAAAACATGATTGTAAGTATGGATTTAACTACTGTTATGTCAAAGCAATTAAATAGACTGTAACATGATGTATTCAATAAAATTTATTATTACTTATATAGGTTATGATAAGTTTTGTCACTTGTACAGTTTGGTGAAGTCGGAAACAAAATTTCAGGGTCACAAAATTCTGTAGCTCCTCTCATGAAGGGGTGGAGTCTATTTCCACACCCCTCCAATCTAAGCTGACCTTGTGACTTCCTTCAGCAAACAGAATGGGGCAGATAAATCTAGGTTCTTAAGGAATTTCAGTTGCCATTATTGCTCTGAGACTGTAAGGAAGATTGTTGAGTCTGTGGAGGATAAGTGGCTCACATGGAGAAAATCAAGCAAGGCACACAGACAGCAATGGACACTGGCCATTTGGCACAGGACTGAGGCCATCTTGGGCCTTTTGTTCTAGCCTGAATTCTAGTCCAATGCAGCCATGTGAGTGAGCCTAAGAAAAGCAGAGAAACTTCCCACCTAACGCACAGAATAATGTGCAATGATAAATTTTTACTGTTTTAAACCACTGAGGTTTGGGAAATTTGTTATGCAGTAATAAAAAACTGAAATGCATGAAAGAAATGCTTTCTGGAGTTGTTTGCATATATTATTTGAGTATGGTTTAACCAGGTGTTTTTTTGTTCATTTAGCAGTTAGTTAATGAGTGACTACTAAGCACTTTGTGCTCAGTGCTCTAGGAAATAAAAATATAAAGTTTAAATAGTGTCAGTAAGGTAAATAATAGTTGAGTTGGGATGATATTAAACACTAAAAATCAGTAGTTTTGTAAAAGTTTACCTATATAAGACATGAACTCATATATACTCTCAGAATTCAGCAGGGACTTCTGGGAATTCCTTGAAATTGAGATTCAGTGAACTCTATGAGAGAGCTTCATTTTTGAGCTTGGGTTAAAAAAAATAGGAATTGTAACAGGTGTCACAGAAAGAGGGCTTTCAGTTGAAGGGAACAGATTGGGCAAAAATAGACACAGAGGGTAAGAATTAAGGACTTTGATAGGTACACCATGTAAACAGTAAGTGAAGGGGAGATAAATGAGACCAAAGTTTGAGAAAACCCAGATTAGATCCAGATGCTGAAGTCTAGTTAATTCTGTATGTACCACATATCTATTACCAAATAACAAGCCACCTAAAAGGGAATGGAATGGCTTAAAACAGCACAGTTTGTTGTTTCTCACGGTTCTGTGATTGGTAACTAGGCAGTGTTTCTGCTGATCTCACCTTCAGTTACTCTTAGCTTCAGTTATTTGATGGCCTGACAGGAGTTGGAGCATCCAAGATGGCCCTACTCTCATGTCTAGCAGTTGGTGCTGGCTGTCAGCTGGGACATTTTGGTTTTCTTCCACATGATCTCTAAGCCTTCAGTAGATTGTATCAGGCTGCTTCATAGAATGGTAGTCTCAGAATTCTAAGATGGTGAGAACAAAAGCTTAAGGATCTTATAAGATCCATGCTCTGTGACCCACACAACATCAAATCTACAGTATTCTGTTGGTCAAAATAAGGTATTAGGCCATTAAAATGCAAGGACATGGAGAGCTAGATTTTACTTTTGATGGGAAGTATAGCAATAACATGTTGCAAAGGGGTATGAACATAGGAAGACTTGATTTACTGGCATCTATCATAATAACTGATCATACCATGAATTAGAGAGTATTGTTAACAGTAAGAATCCAGTGGCTTTTTTGAACCTGAGATTGACGTATGTAAGCTTTGTTTAAGAATGTGAATATGGCCTATATGAACAGATTAAATTAAAAAGAGAACAAACTGAAGACCAGGAAGTAAGAGTAGGAGACTTTTCTAGTAGTTTAGATGAAGATAATGTTTGCTTTATGAAATGGACATTTTTATTTATAAGCAGGGATTGACTTTTAATGTGTAGTTATGCAAAATATAGTAAGCCTTTCACATTTGAATCTTTAAGAATGTGTAATTTATCTTCCCTTTTATTTTCTAGTGAAGTGTAAACGTTAAGCATAAATTGTTTACATTTTCAAATATCTATTATTTTAAATAAAATAAAAAACCTAACCCACAGGAATATTTTTTATCAAACAGTTGTTCTCTTGGTTATGGTAAGATTTCATCTAAATAGTCTTATAATTAGTTCACTATTATACTGCATAGGTACAGCTGAGCAAATAAACTGATACAAATCAACTCATGTGACCCAGCAGCTCACACAAAATTCCTAAGCATAGAACAAGGGCAATTTTGCGTACTTAACTCCAGTTAAGAAAAGAAAAAAAGAAAAAGAATAAGGGGCACCTGTGTGGCTCAGTCAGTTAAGCATCTGTCTTTGGCTCAGGCCATGATCTCATGGTTTGTGAGTTCGAATCCCATATTGGGCTGTCTGCTGCCAGCCCAGAGCCAGATTCAGATCCTCTGTTTCTCGCTCTTTATTCCCCTCTCCTGTGTTCGTTCTTTCTCTCAAAAATAAATGAAAATATTTTAAAGGAAAAGAAGAAAAAGAACAGTTTCTGTGTCAGCAGTAAAATGATAACAAGTACCTTACCATTTCTCTTCTGTCCCTTGGTTTATCTACCTGCTTACCCACCTACCTTAACTATCCACCTGCTTATACTCTGCCTTAAAAAAAAAAAAACCCACAAAAAATATTTATTTAAGATAATTAAACATGTTTGATACATAAATAAATAAGAAAATTATCTTAAAAAGATAGAAAATGAATTTCTTGAATTTAAACATTTAATACTATTTCTTTATGGTCACCAAAATTGCACTATGTCTGCTTGTTGTGCATGGGAGTTGGAATGAGTGTCCAAAAGTAAACACAGAGTGTTTTGGATAGATTTGTAGAGGAATAATTTACATGCCTTACAGCACACTCATTTTAAGTGTAAATATCAATCATTTTAAATGCATTTACCGAGTTCTACAGTCATCACCACATTCCCGTTTTAGAACATTTTCTATCACCACATTCCCACCATCAGCCCCAGGCAGCCACTGGTCTTCTCTCTGTCTCTTTTCTCCGCATTTTGTATTAACAGTATCATAGAGCCTGTAGTCTTCTACATCTGTCTTCTTTCACTCAACATGCTTTTGCTTTTTGTCCATATTGTACCGTGCGTCAATACCTGTTTTTTTGTTTTTTTTTTGCTTGCTAAATCATATGGCATCATACACTGATTTATGTTACAGATCTCATATCCCCAAAAATGTATAATACTTATGTTTCTTTCATAGTCTCACCTATCCTTTTATTTTTTTAAATTTGTATTATTATTTTTTAGCCTGTAGTTGGGCTATTTTTAGTGTTATTTTAACAATTTTATTTTGGAGACATCTTGTAACAATTTCCATGCTACTCTCTTACATCATTAGTTGCTTTGTACAGATGGTTGATCTCTTGAGAGTGACTTGGCACTTGTTAACCCCTCAAACCTTTCATGTATATATGAAACACACATACATAATATATATAGATATACACATGCTATACAATAAGTTGGCTCCCTGTAAAATAAAAAAAGACTATCACTCTTTTGACAGGGAATAAATTTAGCGATTTCTGTCTTTAGGTTCCTTGGCATGCATTCAGATTGTTTGTGTAGTCACTCATGAAAGTCAACCTATTTCTTTTACATTATACTCAGGTATACTTTGTGATATTTTAGCTACAATTTTTGGTTATTAATAATAATATCATATTTGGTTAATGTAGGTAAAAACTTAAAATTGTTTTCATGGCAAAAAATATATTTCACAATATAAGATTCCAACTCACTGAATGTGCTTTATGTGATGTGCTTTGACTTTCAAAAGAATAATGAGAAATAATGTGCCCAATTTGAAAGTTTTAATTTTAATGCAAATTTGTTTCTTTAGCATTTGTGGAATCCAACATCTGGAACGGATAGGAAAGAAGCTGAACCTCTTTGACTCCCTTTATTTCTGCATTGTGACATTTTCTACTGTGGGCTTTGGGGATGTCACGCCTGAAACCTGGTCCTCCAAGCTTTTTGTCGTTGCCATGATCTGTGTTGCTCTTGTGGTTCTACCCATACAGGTAAACATAGCCAGGTTCAATTTTATAGAAATGTGTAAGGTCTGATAGAATGAAATCTTCCATGCTTAATATGAAATGTGGGTGGTTTATTAATATATTAACACATGTTATTATTGTATGTAGTCAATTAATTAAAATAGTCTCATGAAATTCCTTTTCCCATATTAGAAACCAATTTTTTTCCTCCATTCACAAGTGATAAAGCTCACATCTCATTCAAGTTCTTGAAGATGTTTCTTTTACATATAAGGCATTTAACTATGTTAATTATAAGATCATAGAATTTAGTTTTAATTATAGAATGATAAACCAAGGAAATAAACTTATGAAGGCTTGATTTCTTTTGATTCTTGAAATAATGTAAAAGCTGAACACTGTAATAAATAAAAAGGGATCACATATGTTGATCAACTAAAACAAAATCTGAAGATGATATATAACTATTATGCAATGTTTGGGGAGTGGATAAGGTGGTTGCAAAGGGACAGAGATATAAAAGGAGATTAAAGATGAGTAGATGCAATCGACAACTCTTTCTTACAATGAGTTTTGGGTGCCCGTGAGTGGGCAGGTCAGAAACAAGTTATGGCAAATACAAACCAAATTTGTATCTTCCATTACAAACCGTTGGCCACAGTTTATCTAAATATACTTTATGTAGATATGAAAATGATCTTCCCACTCCTGCTCAGTCATGCATGTATTCCTTCCTGACATCCCTCCTCTATTCCATCTACTTCCCTTACATACCAACTGCTGCTACATGACTAGAATGTGGCCTTGTGTGTTGGGTATCTCTCATTGTATGAGATGTGTGCTGAACTTGGTAGAAAAATGCAGAAGATGTGCCATTGAGGTTTTTTTCTTTGACACAGCTCATGACACATCATGGCTGCCTGCTTTACTGGACATAAAGCAGAGGCACAAACCTTTTAGTGCTGTTATGATATAATAGGAAATTCATATTAATATGTTTCTATAGAGACCTGAAGCCCCCAGGAAGTATTAGGGACCTCAGCAGCAATCACATGAAAAGTCTGTTATTGAAGAGAATATGGATAATTTGAATCTCAATGCGTTCCATCTAAGAAATTGAATATATATCTAATAAACAATGGATGGATGTATTGCATTGGTTTTTATTTTCATGCCCAGTGTTTTTCATTCATATGTGGAAAATGCATTACAGTTTGAACAACTGGCCTATTTGTGGATGGAGAGACAAAAGTCAGGTGGAAACTATAGTCGACATAGAGCTCAAACTGAGAAGCATGTTGTTCTGTGTGTCAGTTCACTGAAGATTGATTTACTTATGGACTTTTTAAATGAATTCTATGCTCATCCAAGACTTCAGGTACATTAAAATTATGTTATGCATTTTACTGGATCATACCTAACATATTGTCCAAGTCAATTAACTGATGGTGCAGCCTGTGTTCTGGAGGATTTTATTTACATGCTCCAATTTAGAAAGAGTAAATGAAGAACTACAAATATAACCAGGAACACAGAAAAAATGCTTAAAGACTACACAGTATTTTAAGTTCCTTCTGTATCTACACTAAAAGACAGATGGAATTATGTTAATGCTACAAAGAAAGGTTTTCTTTGAATTAAAAGGATTGTTTTTTTTTTTTCTTTTTTGGGTAATGTATAAATGATATTTTTATGAAACAGTGAAATTTAAAATAAAATATAAAACAATGAAAAAGTAATTTCACAGTATCATCTACTTGAAAATGTCAAGTTTTATCAAGTGTTGCTGATAGAAATGTAGAAGTCTAAAATTTCCATGTTTTTCTCTTGTTTCTTGAAATGTAACTAGGTCTCATAGTAGCAATGAATCACCAAAAATTGGACAGTAACTAGCTGAATTGAGAACAATAATTCAGAAAAAAAAATCCCTTTATCTGTCTATGCAGATAAAATCCTCAGATACTTTTCCATTTGCCATGGTAGTCAGCCAGTGTAGATTTAGGTAATCTCCTTTCCTTCTTAATGCACTTAATTCGGTTCAAACAGGAAAGAGCTACATGAATGTCTTGTATTTCCTCAGTAAGTTTGTCAAGAGGTTGGACACTCATCCAGCACACTGGATCAAGACAGTGCTACGTACAATTCTAATTAGATCTCCCTTAAATTGATTTTTTTTCATGAATATACTGGAGAGCTTAAAAAATTTAATATTTAAATATTTGTGTGAGAGAGAGAGACAGAGTGTGAGTGGGGAGGGGTCGAGAGAGAAGGAGACACAGAATCTGAAGCAGGTTCCAGGCTTTGAGCTGTCAGCACAGAACCCGACGTGGGGCCAAAACCCTGGAACTGTGACATCATGACCTGAACTAAAGTCCAGTCTAATTGACTGAGCCACCTGGCACCCCACATTGGAAAACTTTTTAAATACTTCTTAAAAAATTTAGAAAAGTATATAATTTATAAGTGATGCTTAAATTACATAATACATTCTTCTGTTTTCATATAAAGTAATTTGCATTTTTGAAGAAACACCATAGTCATTTTATTATTATGCATATTAAATAATTGCAGGTTTTTTCCTTATAACCTATAAAGAAAATATATTTTGGGGAAAATTTGGAGCCCCAAATTTTGATATCTAGTAATTTATTTGTATTAATATCAATATGGAGAGTTCTCAAACTCCCCAGATTTCCACCAGATATATTTTAGAGTTATAAAATGGTGAATGTTTACCAGAGAATTATAATTCCTATAATCTATGTATTAAACTATTTTATCATTCAGAATACCTTTGTCTTTTCTCCAAAGGACCATTATTTTGAAATATGTGATCTTAAACTTTTAAATTTACTTTGTATTACCAATATTCTTATGAATCCTTATCCATTCAGATTTCATCAGAGATTTTTCATTATTATCAATAAATAATAATATGACCAGAGGATATAAATCACCATCACAGTTTTTATTCTAAAAGTAACAATTTGAAGTATGAATTGATTTTTAAGCACCTCTTCACTGTGTGTATTGTATATTTTAGAATTAGCCTGAAGTTATTACTGAAAACTTTATAGGCTGCAAATCTATACAGAGTAAGCACTGATTACCTTCTCTTCATGGTACTAATAAGACTGAAAAAGGTCAGGATTAGTATGTTGCTTTCTATGATTTTTATATGTCTCAGTTATGTTTATTATAGTGTCATTAATTAATATATGCCCAGGTTTTAAATGCAAACTTTTACTTACTAGTGAGAATTTATTTCTATTTCATTATATTTCTGAATGTTCTTAGACATTCTGTTTACTAATGTAATATAAAACGTAGCATTATTGATTTCATCCCATTGCCCATTTTGTTTTGAGCAGGATTATTATGTGGTGATTTTGTGTCCTACTGAAATGGATGTGCAAGTTCGGAGGGTACTGCAGATTCCAATGTGGTCACAAAGAGTTATCTACCTTCAAGGCTCAGCCCTTAAAGATCAGGATCTGCTGAGAGCAAAGTAGGTATCTCTATCTGTTTTCCATCTTGCAATACTTTAATATCTTTTCTCTCCTCCAAATTTTAGCAATTTTCATCTTGCAAGATGTATTTAAGTATTTTTGAATACAGTCTTGCCTTAGTCCCACTGCTGGTCAAATTGAAAGGTTAAAAATATAAAACCAGTGTGTGTTTGTTCATCTTTCTCAGTGCAGGGATGTTCAGTGGACCGTGTCCTCGCAACAGGATGAGGAGTGTGGCATGGTGTAATTAGATGAGTTATCCAGACCCATTGTTAGAGTAGTCTCCAAGTCCCTGAATACCGTTTTTATTCCACAAATAAAAATCTTGTGCCAAACATTATGTGAAATGCCAAAGCTGTTTGAGTCAGGGTTTAAATTTTTAGAGTTTGTGTTATGTAGTGGGCAGATGACACTTGTGTTGCCTGGTGTCAGAGATGTCCCTGGGGGTTGGAGGATTCAGAAGGGTAACTGAGTATTAGTTGCTCTTTTCTTGTTACACATGTGCTAGCTAACCTGGCTTAAAGTGACATAGGCATAGACATTTGTCACAGATCGTGGGGTTGTTCCATATGAGAAGAGTGAAAGCATGGTTGGGCAGACCATGGACACCAGGGAGTCAGGGCATCTGCAAACAATACACATAGCTTCAGAAGCCAGAAGAAATCTTTAGCAGAGGTGGTTTTGCTCCATGTTTTTTGGTGCTTTTAAAGTTTTAAACATATCTTTCTTGGGGAGAAAAAAAATATCCTGTCCCTTTCTAGGTCCTTCTAGCTGGACTAAGAATCAAATTGACCTGAGACAGATTAACAAGAGAAAATCAAATTTAATAGTGCCTGTACAGGGAATCCATACAGAAGTGGAACTTCCAAAGCTAGTTAGGCAAAAGAAGGGATATATGTCATTCTGAACTAAGGAGAAGGAGTAGGGGTCTGGATCTTCCAAGAGAAGGAAAATAATTTACATGAAGATGAAAAATATTTGATAAACATACGTTTGCTGGGCCACTCAGAGAGAATGGGACAGGAAGATTTTGATCAAACAGGCCTTGCTAAGTTCTTCCCTCCCTATCCTACCTACTTTATATCATAATGTAGTTATCTATGGTGATAGGTCTTTTCCTGGAGCAGATTTTCTAATCTAATCTAAATTCTGCTTAAGCAGTTGAGGAGGGAGATAAAGAGCTTTTCCTGAATCTGCTAGCTTTTGATTGCTTTTTAGCTTAAAATAATCTTCATGCCAATGTAGGGGTGCCCATCTTGGGGTGGCCTTCCTTTGGATCCTACATCTCCATATTTACCCTTGAGTCGCCTTACAAGGTCTTTTAAGTACTGAATTTTAGAGCATAAGTTTTTTTTAGGTCTTTTTAAGATTTTTTTCTGGATGACTTGAGTGTGTGTATTAGTGAGAATGGGTGTGTTTTTGAATGTTCTGTATGTGTGTGTGTGTGTGTGCGTGTGTGTGTGTGTGTGTGTGTGTAGGATGGTGATGGAAATGAACAAAAGAAAATTCTCAGACTCTCTTTTGCTACATACTGCTGAAAGTTGATGACTAGATATTTTGTAACTGGAACTTTGACATTACTTTTGATTTAGATACAATAGGTCACTTTAAGTGAGATTTTTCAATGATTTAATACCTTCTGAAACAAAGAAGTTAGTAGAAACTATCAAGATATAATGAATGGTACAGAATTAGAAAATTTAATTTCTTTGAGAATATATTAGATTTTTTGGTGGATTAAGTACTTCATAGTTGTCATTGTACACACAATAGTTAAGTCAGATTCTCCCAGTACCTTAAGTAAAAGATGACTTTAGGTGTTTGCTATTTGCTATCTAGATGCATTATTTGGGAGTTCTGAAGAAATAATTGCTTAGACACTAACATAATTTGGATCTTTATATTTATCAGCATAGGTAATCAATGTGTTTATTTTATTGTATGCATTAAGTTCTTCACATAAGAATCATTCCAATATTATGTTCCCTATGAATTTATGTGATAAATGAAGCCTTTTTATTACCCAATAAATTAATCTAAGCTATTAGTATTTTAGCTTGATACTATAGAAGGGAGGAGAATAAGCTACGCCCAAATGTGCCTCAATGGCAGGATTATCATGAGCTGGTTATTTTTTTAAAAATATTTTTAATTATTTCTGAGAGAGAGAGACAGTGTGAACAGGGGAGGGTCAGAGAGAGAGGGAGACACAGAATCTGAAACAGGCTCCAGGCTCTGAGCTAGCTGTCAGCAGAGAGCCCGACACGGGGCTCGAACCCACGAACTGCGAGATTGTGACCTGAGCCGAAGTCGGAGGCTTAACCGACTGAGCCATCCAGGTGCCCCACGAGCTGGGTGGTTTTTTTTGTTTTTTTTTTGTTTTTTTACAAATAGTTATTGTCAAGTGGATTTCCATATGACACCCAGTGCTCATCCCCACAAGTGCCCTCCTCCATGCCCATCTCCCCCCTCCAAGCTGGTTATTTTTAAGAAAACAGTAGACACAGGAAAAACTTAAAACCAAGTAAAAGTTAACCCTTTTGTAAGGGACATTTTTATTTGTAAGGGACATCTGAATCCATAAGGCTATCTCCCTCTCAGTGGCTGGAAGAGGAGGATAACTCAATCTCTGGAAACTTTTGTGAGTGGAGAAGGCAAAGACCTAAATCTGCAAACAATCTTACCCTTGTTTACGGTGCTTTTCTTGATAGGTTCCCATAACTGGCTCCCCCTACCTTTAGCCAAACATCTTTTGTCTGTAGCTGAAGATGGTGTTTAAGGTGGTGGCCTCATGGGAGAGGAGTTAATTAGTTTTCCTGTGTGTCTCCCACTTGTACCTTATATCAGAAGTATACATGTTATTAAACTTGTTTTTCTTCTGTTAATCTGTCTTTTTATTACAGAGGGGTCTCAGCCAAGAACCTAGAAGGGTAGAGGGAAAATTATTATTTTTTTATTAATTACACAATTTAGGATTAACATAATTCATTTATTATTAATAGTGTTAAAATGATTTCTCAGCAAAATCAACCACATTTACAAGAATCATTCATTCATTGGAATATAAAAAGTATGATAATGAGGATGAGAGAGGTAGCAGGCTGGTAATACTAAAAAATCTGGGTTAAGAAAGAAGTATTCATTTTATGTTCATTTCTTATCCTAATGTCATATAAAGATTTGGGATTTAATGTTAACTAATACATTCTTCAACACAATTTCTCATGCAAGAAACAAGGAGTAGGATTCTCCAAACCAGTTCCAAAGGTCAGTTGCATGAATTTTGAATTGCTTTGTTGAAGATGATGTTTTCAAAATGTTATGCAATACTCATTATCTTATAACTATGGCTTAATATTTTTCCAAAACTGTTTGGTTTGGTCTTATTTCAATGACTTTTCTCTTTTCTCTGCATAGAAAATATAATTTTGGGGAGAGGGGAAAGTTTATTTTATCATAATGAATCAGAAAGACAAAATATTTCTTATTTTGAAATAAACATTTTGATTTTTTTTTTTTTTTTTAAGATTTTTAAAAATTTTTAAGTAAGCTCTACATTCAATGGGGGGGCTTGAATTTACAAGCCTGAGATCAAGAATCGCATGCTCTACCAACTGAGCCAGCCAGGCACTCCAACATTTTTATGTTTTTAGAACATTATTCATCAAGCACTGAAACAAACCGTTTATCACCAAATTTAAGAAATGTAGAACTTTAGCATAAGAGACAGGGGTTTGGAGCAAGATGATGAATCATCTCTAAGAAATGTCAATGTATAGTAGAGTTTGACTTAAGAATACTAATTAGCTCTGTTCCTTCTCTCCTAGTTAATTAACTTTGCAGTTAAAGTGTAACTAATCATAAAATAAAGACCAATGCAACTCCCTGAATTTAAACAAAGCACATACATGAAAAAGTATATAATCACAAAATTTGAGTATTTTTTTTACTTTTGTCATTATGAACTATTGAGTTATATAGCTAATCCAACAATAATTGTTTTGTTCACAGTCAAGGACAGTCATGATCTGCTAGAAATCTAACTTTTATTTAAGCCTAAGGATACTCATAGTTCATTCGTACTTTGTGTACATTGGATTAAGCATTGGAATTCTGTTTTTCAGACAATGCAAAGATATTTCAGTGTATGATTATTTTGCTTTCCTGTCTGTATTTAGGATGGATGATGCTGAGGCCTGTTTTATTCTGAGCAGCCGTTGTGAAGTGGATAGGACATCATCTGTGAGTTTCTAAATTCTCTTTCATCTTTGTGCTTCTTACCTTAGAAGATTCTTCTTTGGATTTTTTAAAAAATCTGCCACAGTTAAATATAGGTGACTTTAAAATATTACTCAAGGGAAGCAAATATCTCTGAACAATCTTTGCCATAATATAAGAATAGCTGCATTATGGCCTATATTAGTAAAACTGTTTGTGAAGTAGTTTCTACTAATCCTTGGGTTTTCCATTGATCAAAATGAAATGAGTCATATATGAACAGAACTGGACCATTTTTAAAAATTATGTATGTCCTTCGCTCTGTAATTTTGTTAAAATGGTCTCATTTTCCTTAACTCAAAACAAAGCAGATGGATCAGGCAGTCTGCATTAGAATCAGTTGGAGGGCTTCTAAAAAAGTATGCATTCATGAAAATTCTATTCTAGATATATGAGGTGGGGATCCAGAATCTGTGTATTTTAAAAAAATCCCCACGTGATTGGGAAGCACATTCCAACTTGGCATCCTTTGGCTTATATGATCTCTGTGATGTATTTTTTTTCAGGCTTAAGTTATATAAATTCATAAGTAAGTTAAATAGTATAATTTAGTAAATTATAACTTCTATTTTTAAACATGCATTCTAATTTTATTGTTTTTAGAAAGTACTTTATTGTTTTATGTTGAGTAGGTACTGTTAACTCCTGTGTTCCTAAGCCAATGAGTTTGTTTCTAGCCGTATCTGTGGTTAAGAGGCAAATCCTTAGTGGCTCCAGTAGTGACTGGGGAAAAGGTAATATATGCATGGGTCTTTCTGGGACATGATTTCCTTTTTCCTGGAATATTTAATAAGACTCTTTGTTATATTAGACTATGAGTCCTGAGTGTGGTAAGCTCTATGCTGTCTTGTTTACTTCACTCTAATTTACCTAAAGTTTTTATTCATTTTTAAACCAATTTTCTCATCCTCTATTTGAGGAGGGTTATTATTGCTTGGATTGTGTCTCCCAAAACTCATATATTGAAGTCCAACCCCCCCAGTACCTCATAATGTGAACTTATTTGGAGATAAAGTCTTAATAGAGAAAATCAAGTTTTAATGAGCTCTCTAGGGTGGGCCTTCATCCAATATGACTGGTATCCTTGTAAAAAGAGGAAATTTGAAGATAGGCAGTCATGAGGGAGAATGCCATGTTGAACATGAAGACAGCCCTTTATAAGCCAAGGGGAGTGGCCTGAAACAAATCCTTTCCTCCTAGCCCTTAAAAGGAATCAACCCTGCCAACACCTTAATTTTGGACTGCTGGCCTCCAGGACTAGGAGACAATAACTTTCAGTTATTTAAGTCACTCAGTTTGTGCTACTTATCACTGCAGCCTACCAAACCAATACAAGAACATAGAACAAATATAGTTTAGACAATTTGCAAAATATTTCTCTTTACGAAATATATTTCTTTTTTTTCTTTAATGTTTACTTATTTATTTTGAGAGAGAGAAAGCATGAGAGGAGGAGGGGAGAGAGAAGGAGAGTTGGAATCCCCAGCAGGCTCTGCACTGTCAGTACAGAGCCCGATGCAGGGCTTGAACCCACGAACCATGAGATCATGACCTATATGGAAGTTGGACACTTAACTGACTGAGATACTCAGGCACCTCTATAATATATACTCTTTTTTAAAAAAATGTTTTTATTTAGTTTTGAGAGAGACAGAGTGTGAGTGGGGGAGAGGCAGAGCGAGAGAGAGGGAGACACAGAATCCAAATCAGGCTCCAGACTCTGAGGTGTCAGCACAGAGCCTGACACAGAGCTCAAACTTGACCTGAGACGAAGTCAGACAATTAATTGACTGAGCCACACAGGCACCCCTACAATATATATTTCTAAAAATTCATCTGCCCCCCTTCTTTTTCCCTGGTTGTTATATTAATTCAGACCCCACTCTCCTCAGTTCACTTAAGTGTTATTTCAGGAGTTTCTTAATTAGGCACTCCAAGTATATTTATAAAATAAATCAATTTGAACTGATCATAATCTACTGTATGTTTCCATAATTAGTTAACTTTTGTAATTGTGAATCTTGTGTCCGTTAAGTGGTAACTTGGTTTTAAAGTACTTGCTGTTCTCCAGTATCACTAATGTTTTGAGTAACAAAGAGGAGCATAAACATTAAGAAATAAATGTATAATATCTTTTGGAGCACACTTTACAATGTGAGTTTGGGATCTTTCAGTTAAACAAATGCATTTCATTTTTTCCTGACACTACCATATTGACAGGAAATGAATAAAAATTACACTCATAAGGACAAAGGAAATGGTGGATGAGACGGCACTAACACAAGTTTGGAAGCTAGAAAGCAGATGGATGAGTGGTAACTGACTTAGAAGGAAGTTAAAATTTAAGTTGAGAGAGGAAACAAGTCAGAAGCAGGTTGCTTTTTGCAATGGAACTTCAAAAATCTCAGGATATAAAGGCACCAGATGCTCCTGTAAGTAAGGTTATATGTAGGACTAAACATATGAATAGTGATTAAAAGTTTGTAATATTAGATTCCCTGAATACCTTCAGAAATCCAGTGCTGATCCCTTTCCCCAGCCTGGGGAGCAGGTTCACTGTTGGCAGAGTTTGATCCAGGGATACCCTTCACTCATAACCAGAAGGTACAATTGAGAGTCAGGGTAAAGTCAAAGGTATTAAAGAGAAAGTTGTTTCACTGTATGTGAGGTGCTTCTCCCAAATGACTCAGAATCCTAATAGCTGGGTCCACACCTCCATTGGAACAAGATTGGAGGAGTTTTCTCTGAGGAAATGGTCCTTCACAAGAGAGAATGCCATGTGCATGTGTGTGTAAATATATAAAGTCTGGAGTTCCCTAGTGCAGTATCACAGATTAATCACCTTATAGTAAGGGCTATGTCAGATAAGATTCCCACATTCAATCAAGTCTCAAACAGCTTTTGAGTGTTTCACTTCTACATACGTTCAGAATACAGAGCTCAATAGACATTTAATGAAGTTCCTGACAAGGAAAAGAAAGAACAATGAACAAACATAAAAAACATTAAAAAAAAAGAACTCATCAGAAACAAACAAAACTGTACAATTCTAGAAGAAGTAGATTTTAAAATATATAACAAATATCCTCAGAGTAATATGGGAAGTTATGAAGAGAGTACATATATAAAACAAGAATAGTAGTCTGTAGAATAAAACTATTGAAGACAAAATAGGAAACATTTCATGAACCAAAAAGAGCTCCTGGAAATTAAAAATAGGATAACACAAGAAAAATTATATCAAAGGTTCAGGAGAAACGCAAGAGAGGGGAGGAAACGGGGCAAAATATTATCCCTATGGTTGGAAAGACTCACAGTCAAATACAGAGAATAGTAATTTCCCAGAGCATAGACTCATAAGTGGAAATCAACCTGGGAACCAGTGTGGGGGCAGTAAAACCTGAACTGCATTTAATGAATTTCTGTAGGTTCAGTGCAGACAACTTTGGGAGTTAAATCCTCTGGGGAATGTAGTCATGGGGAGGGGTCCCTTAATTTTGTGAGATTTGCCTCCAGGAGTTTGACCAGGTTCTCACAGTGAATATGAGAGAAATATCCCCTTGGGAGCAAGGGTCAGGGAAAAGGAAACATTTTGAAATACACCAGCACATTCTGTTCTTCTTTACAGGCCCTGCCCTCAGGAAAAGTAGTTAACCAGATCTTAACCTGCTGGAAACAGTTATCAGAGACTAACTGACTTGGGAGAAGGATGATACACAATTCCAGACCACTGTGACCATCCTCTTTCACATAAGGGGACCAGGACACTGAAAAAAAATATTTGTGAAGGTCACAGTCCAGAGCTATAGGCTCATAAAAGACTGATGCTAAATCAAGACTTAGAACTCTTCTCCTTACCCCACAGCTTACTCCCACATTTCTAAAAATCTATTTATAGCAGCCTCTTTAACTTGATTTATAATGACTGTCTATTAAGAAAGAATTATAACTAATACCAAAAGGCAGAAACCAAACCAAACTAAACAATTTGAGAAGACAAAGCAAGTATCAGAACAGATATGGCATAGATGTTGAACTGAGACCAATAGTTTAAAATAACTGATTAATATCCAGGGGCTCTCATGGATAAAATAGACAGCATGCAATGACAGATGGATAGTGTCAGCTCTGATAGAAACCTTAAGAAAGAACCAAAAAGAAATGCTAGCTATAGAAACGCTAAAAAAATGAAGAACACTTTTGATGGGCTTATGAATGGACTGGACATGGCTAAGAAAATAATCTTGGAACTTGAGGATAAATCAACAGAAACAAAAGTAAAAAGCAAAGAGAAACAAGATTGGACAAAAACAGAACAGAACAGAATATCCAAGGACTCTGGGACAATTGTAAAAGGTATAATGTAGATGTAATACCAGAAGGATAAGAATAAAAGGGATAGAAGAAATACTTGAAAGCATAGTAACTGAGGATTTCCCCATATTAATATCAGACACCAAACCACAGATCCAGGAAGCTCAGAGAGCACCTGTCAAAAAAGATGTCAAAAAAATATACCTAGAAATATCATTTTCAAATTACAGAAAATCAAAGATAAATTCCTGAAGGAAGTTAAGCGGTGGGGGTGAGGGAAACACCCTAATTATAGAGGAGCAAGGATAGGAATTTCATCAGCCTTATCTTCAGAAACCATGCAAGCAAGAAGAGAAGATAATAAAATATTTAAAGTATTGGGAGAAAATACAGAAGGGAAGTCAGTGTCAGAGTTTAGGTCACCTTGAACAGAGGGACAAGGAGAAGGGCCTGGGTCCCAGTAATTGAATGGAGTTTTATGTCTTGACAGATGGCAAAGAAGAAAAAAAACAATAACCATGAGGGACAGTAGGTATACATTATTTCTGCTCCTTTGACAAAGACTGGAGTCTCACAACTGTGCTGTGTTTGTCTGACAGGGTCTCATAGATTTGTCTACAGCCCTTAGAGAAATGGCCTTTCAGGACTTA